GGGGAGGAGGGAGAGGGAGGAGGGGAGGGGGGAGGGAGGAGGGACACGGAGGAGGGAGGAGGGGAGGGAGAGGGAGGGAGGGGGAGGAGAATAGGGAGAAAGAGAGGAGGAAGGATGGGAAGAGGAGGGAGGGGTACGGGAGGGGAATGGGACTGAGGAGGGGAAGCAGGGAGGAGGGAAGGGGGAGGAGAGGAGGAGGGGAGTTGGGAGGAGGAGGGGGAGGGATGAGGGAAGAGGACGGAGGAGGGAGAGACGGAGGAGGGAGGGAGGAAGAGGGGAGGAGGAGAGGGGAGAGAGGTAGGAGAGAGGAGGTGAGGGGGAGAGTAAGGAGGGGGAGGAAGCGCGGGAGGAGGAGGAGGAGGGGAGGAGCGAGGGAGGAGGGAGGAGGGGAGGGAGGGGAGGAGCTAGAGGAGGGAGGAGGGGAGGAGGGGGAGAGGGGGAGGGAGGAATAGAGAGGAGGGAGGAGGGGAAGGAGGGAACGAGGAGGAGGGGAACGGGGAGGAGCGGGGAGGAGGGAAGGTGAGGGAGAGGACGGAGGAGGAGGAGGAGGGAGGCGAGGAAGAGGACAGATGAGGGAAGAGGACGAGAGGAGGGAAGAGAATGGCAGGAGGAGGAAGGGAAGAGGGAAGAGGGAGGAGGGAGGAGGGGGAGGAGGGAGGGAAGAGGGAAGGAGGGAGGAGGGAGGAAGAAGGGGAAGGAGGGGAGCGAGGGAAGGAGAGGGAAGGAGGGGAGTGAGGAGAAGGGGAAGAGGTGGGAAGGAGGGGAGGAGGGAGGGGTAGGAGGGAGGAGAAGGAGCGGGGAAGGAGAGGGGAGAGGGAGGATGGGAGAGAGAGGGAGAGGGAGAGGGAGGAGGGGAGAGGAGAGAGAGGGTGAGAGGGGACGGAGGGAGAGAGAGGGGAGGGGGAGGGGGAGAGGAGGAGGAGGGAGAGGGAGGAGAGGAGGTGAGGGAGGAGCCGGAGAGGAGGGGAGAGGGGAGGAGGGGAGGAGGAGGGGAGGAGGAGGAGGGGGAGGAGGGGGAGGAGGAGGAGGAGGAGGGAGGACGGAGAAGGCGGAGGGAACGGAGAAGACGGAGACGAGAAGCGGAGTTTGACGGAGAAGGGAGGACGGAGAAGGGAGGACGAGAAGGGGAAGGACCGGAGAAGGAGACGGAGAGGGGAGGACGGAGAAGGGGGAGGACGGAGAAGGGGGAGGACGGAGAAGGGGGAGGACGGAGAAGGGGGAGGACGGAGAGGAGCCAGGCAGTCATCCCAGCCAACGGCCCCCAAGACACGCGAGGGACCCCCTGCTGGGTGGGGGGTGCCGCCAAGCCCCCCGAGACTCATAAGTGATGACAGTCACCATGTTAAGCCACCAGGCACTGGGCGGTTTGTTACGCGGCGTTATTGAGACGTCGGGCAGACCACGTCCACGACACAGGGTCGGGCCGACAGGACACAGGGTCGGGCGACAGGGACACAGGGTCGGGCGACACTCGGAGCAAATCCTAAAGCTCTCGGAGCTCTACCTGGGCTGGCCCGCCGCTGCGCACCGCAGCCCGCAGCCCCACCTGCGTCTCGCCTCCTACCTGCCCGCCCTCCCCCCGCCCTCTCGGCCACGGCCACGCTGGGTGGCCCTGGCCGCTCCCGGGACACGTGGGGCTCCCGCCCGGCCGGGGCCCCGCAAACGTCCCCTCTGTGGGATCGCTCCTCCCTGCACGCGGCCAGGGCCCTCCCACCCGGCCTCACGGACGCACCTGGGGGACCCCCCACCCCCCAAACTCACACAACGTCACCCCCCGCTCCTCCACCCCAGTTCCTCTCTCTCCAGAGCACCTGCCAGGGCCGGACGTCACACCCCATCTCCTCTCGTCCCCACCAGCAGCGAGCTGGGCCGCCGGGGACAGAGCTAGTCTTGAGTAGCCCGTCTGTCACCACGAGGAAAACCCCAGACGGGCGTGAAAACCGCCGCGCTTTCCCTGGGCACAAACGGAGGCGTCCGAGGTGCCACCCCCTGCCCGGGGCCGACTCCTCGCGGGCTGCCTCCAAGAGCACAGGACTCCGGGGACCGCCGTGGGGACCGCCCTGCCAACGCGCCCGCCTGCCGGGTGGGGACAGGAGGGATCACAGACGGCCCTGCACACCCCGACACGCTCGCCTCCTTCCCACTGCGGCAGGACCCAGGGCCCGCAACAGCAGGGTCGCCGCTCCGAGTCTCCACTTCCCATCCTGCTGCCTTTGTGGGGGCCGGGGGTCCCCCCAGCAGCAGCTGCATTGGTTCCTGCAGGCCCCCCCCCCGCTGGCTGGAGGGGATGGGGACAGGCCACCCACCTGGCCCTGGCAATTGTGCAGCGACGACCCCCCACTTGGCAGCACCCCCTCCCCGCAAACCCCTCGCTCACTCATCAAAACCGCACTGTGAGGAGCCGGCACCGGCCCAGCCCTGGGAGCAGAGCGGACGGGGAGCCCCGCCCCACGAGGCCGGCTCTTCAAGGGGGCGAGGCGTGACTCGGCCAACCCAGACAAACAAGCAGCACGCGTGGCAGAAGACCAGCTCCAGGGAGAAAAGTCGCACAAAGACGGGGCCAGGGAGTCCCGGGCGCGTGCACCTGCGCCCCGGAAGGTCAAGGGGCAGTGGGAGACACCCCGCCAGGCCAGCAGCATTGGGGCCAAGACTGGACGGCGGGGCGGGGGAGCCCCGGCAGCGGAGGCGGCCGCAGTGGGGCCACGCAGCGTTGGCTTGCCAGGGTGTTGGCGCTCAACGTGCGTGCGCAGAGCCGGCCGGCCGCCCAGGTGCAGCGCGGGGACCGGCTGGGCGCAGACCGGAGTCCGCTCGGCAGGACGGAGGCTGCCCCCGTTGGCAGGTCGGCCCCTGGGCTGGTCCCCCGGGGGCTCGGGCTTGGGAGGGTCCCCGATATCCCCCCTAGCGGATGAGAGGGGCTCGGGGTGCCCGGACT